TTTTTCTTCCAGAGGGCCGATCACGGACTCCGACGTGGAGTTGGCCTCCACCTGCCCAGAGGGGCAACGGGTGATGATCTTGGGCTTCAACACACAGGTCTCCCCAAGCGCTGAACGGACCGCCAAAGAGCGGGGCATCGAGATCCAGAACTTCAAGGTGAGGGCGTGGGTGCGACGTGGGTGTGGAGGGAGGTCAACAATGCTGTGTTTTCAGTAGTGCGTGTGGTGGCCTAAAATGTGGCAGGAGGCGCAGTCAGTTCCCAGTCCAGTGCAGTGATTGATTGGGGATGTTTTTGGACCTGGGGCTGTTCAATACTGTATACATCGAAATTCACAATAATTTTGCATCCTTGAACCACTTTCCGGTGTCAAATGGGTTTTCGGGTGCCCCAAGAATGCACCAGTGTGAGCTGCTGCTCTTGTACAGGTGATTTACGAGCTGAAAGACACCGTGGTGGCCGCTCTGGAGGGTGATTTGAACCAGGAAGAAGAGCTGATTGAAAAGGGCATCGCAGAAATCAAGGTTGGGACAGCCTTGGAGATCCAATCTTTCAGAAAGGCTGACACAAAAACAAACCACTACTGCACATCCAAGATTCAGCAGCTGGTGGTCACTCCCTGTACCGTTTTTGGGACGGTTTTTGACCGTGGTCGGGATTTTCATGGCATTTGGTCCATCGAATTGGAGGGACGAACACCAGCACCCGTTGGTTGCGGTGGAACAAAACGGCCAATGGCCAGAAGAGGAACACGACGGGTGCGGTCCTCACAGCTGTCGGCCCGGACACAGGCCGTCTTCAATGGCCGGGATGGGAAAGTGGCAGGCGCTGAAGTCCTGGAGGGGCAGTTCACCAAGGGACAGCGAGTCCATGTGATCCGCAAGGGGAAGACGCTTGGGTCTTCCAGCGATGGGTAGAGTTGAGGATCAACAGATGTAGTCATTGGAGGGAGTGTATTTGATGGATGCGAGTTGAATAAAGCATGTTGCAGGACATGTAGTCATAGGCCCTAGAGGACTCACATCGGTGAAGCGGTTCCCAGGGACTCCCATCAAGTGTGTTTCGCGAAACACACTTTTATATGAGGGAAGCTTCTCATGATTTCAAAACCATGCCCCTGAACCACAGACATACCCCTAATACATAAAACATCAGTATATTGCAGTTTTTTCTTGGAGGGGTTTGGCCCATGTTTTGGGTCTTCTTTTTGAAGATCCACATCTATCCACCCCACCACACACTCTGCGACAGTGACTTCCCCATGCCGCTGAGGAAAGTGGGTGAAGGGAAGATCCGAACCCTGCGTAGATTTAAGGAAGAAGTGACGGCGCCTTGGGCAAAACAATGCTGAAACATCCGGGTGTCTTTCACCTGTCAGGGTGGGCGACGATGCGGACGCAGGGATTGTGAAACACCGGCGAACCTTTCATTGGCTCGGGAGTTCGTTTGGCCGTAGGTCACAAGGGGACCTGAATCTAGGGGTGACTGTAGGACTTGGACACCTACTACGCGGCCCAGTTCTATCAGATCCTTTGCATAGAGCGGTTGGAGATGGTAAGATCAACAATTGCTTGAGCAGGCATGACTGGAGAGGGAACAGAACGATAAGACTCGCCCAGTAGTGCTCTCCATCACCTTTGGACTTTGGTCTCCTTCCATTGCTTCCCAAAAGCGATGGTTCCTCCATGTTTGCCAATGTTGAATGCCCGGGGGGGCAGGGTGACTAGCCTTGCCCCAACGACACGCTCCAAAGCCATGGACGGTGGTTGGGTTTTTGCACGTTCCGAGGACGTGGATGAAGGCAATGAGTGCGGCTTTAACTTGGACGGCTTCGAGGACCCGTCGCTTTGTTTGGAGGTCTGAAAACGAGGCTGGACACCTTTTCAAGGTCCCGTTCAAAGGGATCACCATGAAACTGATCATGGACGATCCAGTTCGTCGACGACTGCGAGGACTTCAACGCGGGCGACGAAGCCCGGTGCTTCGAGGTGAGGCTCGTGAGTCCAGAGCTGGTGAAGCGCTAGCAGAGAGCTGGTGAAGCGGCGCGAGTGGAGAGAGCAGAGGGCGGGGGAGAGATGAAGAGATGAAGGGCTTGTTTTGGGGGGATCTCATCATTTCCGCCGACGAGATGAAGCAAAGATGAACCAAGATCATGCAACATCCAAGGACTAGAATCACGAAAGCCCTGCGCTCGTGGACCGAAAACCCTGCAGTCGCTGGAACGTCGGAAAGGGGCCGTGAAATTCGGCGGCCGCTCCTGGCGTTGAAAGCACCGCAGCGCACTGTGCATCGCAGATTTTTGCTTGCAAATTCCGGCAAGCAAGGTGAAGACTATGGACTTATCCAGTCAACCAGCTGCCAGTATGTGGCGATTTTCAGATGCGGCCATTTTCATGTGAAAATAGTTGCTGGTGTAGCTGGCTGCCTGTGCTTGCAACGATCTTACCCAAAATGGACATGATGATGAAAGATGCGAGGTCTTTTCTTGAGCGCAGCTGGTTTTTGTTCCAAGCATTGTGTCTGGATCGAACCCTCTCAACACCGGACACCGAGGAGTTCTGAAACGCCCTTCGGGTCCTTCGGGCCCTTCGGGTGGCCTGCGCGATCGATTTGGGCAGGAGCCGCAGTCCTGCGACTTGGATCGACCCGGGCCTTTCAAGGAGTGGCCACGAGCCGGACGAGCGCACCAGACATCCTGGGTGGGAAGAATGGGGGCAAAGACAAGTTCAAGGAGTTGACCTGGACCACTTCTTGTTGACATTGTTCAAAGCTTGGTGACATGTGGCGACAGCTCCCGGAAAAGGCTCTCAATCAGCATCCAATCCGACCGAAGCACATGGTTCTTGATTGATGTCGAGTTGGACTCGATGACTGGGACAGTGTTTTTTCTTTGCGTCTCCGCGTTTCTTTTGGCCCAAGATGGAGAACGGAGAGGGGGTTCGGCGTAGGTTTATCGAGCTCCCAAAGAACCTGTCATAAAAGCGCATGGATGGACATCAGACATCTCAAGATCGCTGGGATTGACCAATGGTCACGAGAGAGCCTTCTAGAGCAATGTGTTCCCGCCCGCCAGACAAAAAGACACTTGAAGCCGGGCGTCCTGCTCCAAAAACGATCAAAAGCTGAGGTAGAAGGGGGCCGTTGCTTGCAACAAGAGAACACAACATCAAGAGCAACCTTTCATGACCTTTCAGCCACTTCATCACCACCCGGATCACCACTCCGTTTCAGGCTGAACACATCGCCGCGTCGCCCCCGACGCGCCATGCTCTCAGCCCAAGCGCCCCTGCGGCCCAGCAGAGGACGAAACGTGTGGTTCCGGGGGCGGGGGTCCCGATCTTGGTCAAGGAAGCGAAGGGGACCAAACTCCTGCCAAGGTAGGCCTCAGCAGGTTGGGTGGATGCCACAGATGATGACATGTCAGGGGTTTATTGGAGGGAAGCTACGATCGAAGACACACCAGAATCACCAGGTCAAACAGATCCAATCACATTGCCCTATTTTTCAGGTTGTTACAGATAGGTTTTCCATATTTTTCCATGTTTTTTCCCGAATTCGGAACTAAGTGAGCACAGGACTCTGAGGACTCAACAGTGTAGCTGTGGCCCCTGTGGCTCGATACTGGACCAGGCGTTGTCACCTTGGCCTCTCCGAGATATTCGAAGATTGAGGCGGCGCAAGGGACCACAAGGCTTTGGAGACATGGGTGTGTAGTCAGACCTTCCAAAGACCCTCTGGAAGAAGGACCATGAACCAACACCCATTGGCGGAGTGTCTCCATATAAAAATACACCCTGCACATGTTGTTATTTGGCATAGATGCAACGTTTCAACTCAAACTTCACTAACGTGTTCTATCAAGGATGCGACCTTTTCTTGTGAAGAGCTATATAAGTATTTACCAGCCAGATGGATGAGACTGAGACCAACTCATCGTCACCATCGTCCTTGGGAGGTTGGTTCGAGTTCTGATTGCCTTGGCGAGCCCTGAGCCAAAGCCATGCAACAATACATATCGACTCTCAAATCAAACACCATAGATTCGATCTTGAACATGCCCGTGAATCACCCAACACCGCATGGCAAGGTTACATACCGTTACATACCGGATACCCTTTTATGATCCTTTATGATTTTAAATATTATTCCCTCCCATCAAGTCATGTGGGGCAACATTGTTGACCCTTTTGTTTGCAAAGCCGTCGACTAGCGCCAGGCGCTTAAAACATGCATGGACATCGACTGCTGCATGGGGTTGGTAGCCAAAAAGCCTCGAGAGGCGATCCACCAATGTATGCTCGATTGGCCTTTGGAAGCCGTTGGACCGGCCTCCTTCGATCGATCGAAACACCGAGCGGATGTGTGGAACGAAGGCGATCCTCCACAAGAGCCCAGTGGCGGAACGTTCACAGCTGAGCCCCAGGGCAGCTGATGCTCAAGGCGGGTGGAGCAGATCGCAGCCGATGGCCGATCGGGATCATCCGTTCGGCCACACCTGGGATCTGATGGTTCTTGGGGTGCATCTTTCTAGCGAGACAGTCGCGAGAGCCACATCCATTGTGGTGCGATCCATGGTGGTTGACATGTGAATGTACTTCTTGTTTCAGGGTGCACGATTGGTGCTTGAGTCATCCCACATGCTGTTTCAACCATCTTGGCCGTACTTGGGAGTGCATATTTTGGAGGCCATCGTGCAGATGTCTGGTCTTGGGCAGACTCCAGACACCCAAGAATAGGGTCTGCAACTAGATAGAAACGACTTCCAACAAGAGTTTAGAGTTGATTCACTTCACTTCTCTATCTATCAAACATGTAGCCAGCGGAGCACAGTTGTTCCAACCTCCGCCGTTCCAACGCCCCGCAGGCATCGCAGCCCCAGCCCCGGTGGACCAGGCCGGCCACCATGGACATAGCAAAGATCACATGCACAGTTTATGGACCAAAGGCCAATCTCTTCAAGAGTGTCATTTCTCAGGGTTTAATGTGTAGTTTCAATGTTTGGCCGTGTATTTTTTTTGAGGTATTCTCGAATTTATATAATAGTATTTGATCGGGAGTTCCCAAGATCAATTCTTTTGCTGGTGCTTGGTGATCATTCCACAAACCTGGTGATAGGCTTCAAACAGAACTTACTTGACAACTTGAGCTTCCCCGCCGCACTGGCCAATGGGCAGGATTATGCAGAGGGTGCTGAAGTGTGGATGGGCAACCATCGCTGCTGAGCTGAAACATCTTGCGGCTTGCAAGGTCTTGACGACGGCTCCTATAAAACACCTAAAATGATGGGAGAAGAATGGTCCACTGCTGGTACTTACTTGGATGTTGGACAACAAGACAACAAGGAGGTGCCGCACGACATGTTCAGAAACAAGGGCTGTGCCACAGTGCTCGTCGTTGGTCGTCGTTTCATGCACACTTATGGCCACGGGGTGCCCCCCCCCTTCAATGGCCCCATCGTTTCCTGATTCAGGCAAGGGTGGGAAGGAGAGTTTAAACTATCCACTGATCTTGCTGCAACATATAGTGTCAAGAGGGTGACAACGTTGAACGTGTGTGGCTCGAGACATAAGCCTTGAATAGCCTTGAGCCTTTTCCAGACACTGGACCTGTCAACCCCTTTTGACCAACCTGGCGCCGTGGCCTTGGTCTTCGCCCCAATTGGGCCAATGAATAAAAGCAACACACTTGGGTCTTGAATTCCATCGCTTTTCGCGGCGTTTTCCCGAGGTTTCGTGTGTACCCACGCCTTGGGCCGCGGCTCGTACGGAGAGGTTTGGCGGGCCAAGGCCGAAAGCGACCGAGGTGGAAGATGTGGTGTTTGGGATCTGAACTCGGAGTGCTGGGGTCTTGCATATGTATGGAACATATATAATTCGGCCAACCCGGGGGGGTTGCTGAACCCGTTTCATTCATCTATGGAAGGAGGAGAAGGCTTCCAAAAGAAACATCCTGATTGACCTGGCCACCTGTGACCCGGGTCCCTTAACTCCCATTTGTGCGGCCTAGCTCGGCGTTGCCAGGTGATCTCTGGTGAGAAAGATCTCAAGGAGGTGGCCCTCAAAGAAGTTCTCTGTCAAAGCCAAGGAGAGCTGCAACAGGCGGGACGGGCCGACCAAAAAACCCATCGGGGACACATACGTCAAACGGGGACGTATCGTTGGGTATGACCTCTTTGGTGGCGTCTTGGCTGACTGACAGGTCCCCTTGGAGGTCAGATCGAATGACTTTCCAATGAGTTCTTCAGGTGGTGCAGAAGGATTCACATGTGACAATCAAGCTGACCCTTTGAAGTGTGCTCCTGTATGTTGAATGTAGATTCTTCGCCCATTGAGCAGCAGAGCAAAGACACCATGTTTTGAGACGATCAAGCACGGATTTTTATGAATCCTGTGAATCCCAAGCATTTTGACGCGCTGCCTATGGACTACTGTACTTATCATGGATTCATACATACATACCTAGGGAACAGTATGCATGGATTCATACAAGCAGGTCGTAGCCTTCTCAAGTGCATTGCACTTTTTAAAATTCAATGAATGCCCTGGTCAGGAAATGTCAAGGGGGTCACTTCAACTCCCCACCTTACCTCGGCTTTTTGAGCATCACCCAGTTCGCTTGTCCACTGGCGCGAGTCACCTTGACGGCTTGACCACCTTCCGCGGTTTATCCCTTGATGAGCTTGTGGACTACTCGGCCAGCTGTGCCACCATGGATAGATGTTACACATGTTACAGATCATGTTTCCCAATCTTTCTAACTGTAAAAAGTAACTGCACGTTTTTGGGTCAATAGCTGGACTTCGGTACGTTTTTCGGTGAACTTCACCCTCATCTGCTCGACGTGTGTGCAGTGCATCGCAGGCGATCTTCGAGGTCCAAGTGCTGCTGGCCTTGGAGCGTGCTGCGCAGGTCCAGCAGGAGCGGCGATGGGAATGTTCGGAAGAAAAGGACCGAAATCTTGAGAAGGTCCAGGGGTGGATTTTGAGAAGAAAGGGGCTCATGGTCATGGTGTGTCTCAAACATCATGTGGCGCCGAAGACCAAAGTAATTATGTTTTTGCGCCTGTGCTTAGTGCGTGCCATTGCCATGCTAAGGCCGATTGCTCCTCAGAATTCGTGAGAGAGTGGCAGTCAATTGGGTGTTCACGTACTCTTCGTTCTCATATACGATTTGTGGAATCAATGGAATCTCGAGAAATCAGTGGAATCAGGGGATGCCAGGGTTGGATTCCTTGCAGTTCTTCAAGCCAAAGTGTTCCAAATGGGTTGCTGAGACAGGGGCAATACACCGAAATCGGCCTGAGGTTTGGCTCACGCGTGAAGCTGTTGAGCCGGGGTTTGGCCAACTCCAAGAACGGGGGCCATGGCGCCATGACAGGCGCCATGACAGGCGGCCTATATTTGAAGCTGTGGCATGATCAAAGATATAGGGCCCTATATAATGATCTCTGGTGGCATGGACATACCCCAGAGATGTTTTCCTTGGAGATCGAAAAGATATTTTCCTTGGACCGTGGCTCGCCACAGACTTGTGGTCGTGACGACTGCAGGAGGGTATCCAGCTGAGGGTGCCTAGATGTATTGCCTACAAGGCCCGGCAGATGGTGTGACCAGGGACAGGGGATTGAAGGTGAGGATTCTCATCAATCACTGTCATTGTTGATCCATTCTACAGGTCTAGGCTGGGGCGATATGTTCTGCAGACGACATGGGGAAAGACCATGAAAAAAGGGCAGATGGGCAGTTGAACGACCTGCTGAGAAGACTGGTTCAGACTTCACCTCCGTTCGGCGAAGAAGCTCCCGGAGCTTCTCGGCCTCGGGGAAGCGATCCACCCCTGAACAAGTAAACAGCACTGTGAAGCATTTGAGCCTTGTCTGAAACATGTATGCTGTACAGAATGAAGATGAATAATTAGATGCATAGTTGTGACCTTTGTGCGATGCTAACTGAACAACGGCACGCACCATTCCCACTTTGAGTTTCAAGTCAATGAACCTGTTCGAAATTGCTAAATGCATCTAAATGCATCTAACTGGATCTAAATGCCTTTGCTTGTCCCCCAAATAGATATCGGAGCGATGTTTCGAGGGATGCTTTTTTTCCTCAACAGCCCAAACGGTTCCGTTCTTCCGACCGAAGGTGGGTGCCTCTCCACAGGGCTGGAGAGTGCGAACGGCCATGACGGTGGCTCCGGGCGAGTCCTTGGACTGCTTCATCAGGCCGAGTCCGACGGGAGGTCACCAGTGAGTCACCGGTGAGTCACCGATCCAACGCGAGCCCAGTGAACCCATCGAAACCCATCAAACCTGGCACAGCGCCAGGCACGTTCCTTGCGACCGTTCGGAGCCCACCAGTTGTTCCGGCTCAGAATTCCCCGCCGGTCTGCCTCAGGCGCCCGGCGCCGGCCGGGTGCAGCTGTCTGAAGGCATTGCGGAAGGCCTTGGTCTTGGTGGGGCGTCTCTTGCGGGACATTGGCCCCTCCTTGCAGCTCTTAGGGCCCATCGCCTGGCATCGGGACTGGATGGGGGAACGAAGAAGGGAAGGAGAAGGAATTTGCTGGAGGTAGGGAGGAAGGAAGGTAAAGGACTAATTAGTTTGGGCGATTGTATGAAGTGTAATGTTTGATAGCGGCTTCAGGCGAGTTCGTTTTTTGACCGGATTCTTCCTGCGCGGCACCCACTTCGAACGACCGGCTTTTCTCCGTGTCAGACCCGATCCGCAGGACGTGAACAGTCACAACATCCTGGTGGATGGGGCTCAACATGACAGTCCTGAGCTTTGCGAGAGTGCCTCCTTCTGGCTCATCGACTTTGGCTTGGCCGTGGACTCCCAAAGTTGGGTCTCGGAGACGGGGAAATGGAGGACCGGTCGACGCGCCCCCCGAAGACCGGCCTCCCACGGCCGTCTCCCACCGGTCCACGTGTCGCGCACGCGCCGTGTCGTGTCGCACCTGCCGCGTGTCGCACCGCACGCGCCGTGTCGTGTCGCACCTGGCGTGTTCTGGGAAACGTGAGAAACGCGTAACGGTGGAGGACGGAGTACATCGGTGGAGATAGCCGTTACTGGCCACCGAGCAGCTGGATTATGCATTTGGTGGGCCCAGAGGGCTTTGACCGGCGCCCGGACTTGTGCGAGCAGTACCAGTGTCCTGGACGAAGGGAGGAAAAGCGGGAACTCTAAGGATGTGCTACCGTGCCACCAAAAAAGGTAGGCTATCCAACGGACAGTCGGCCATTCGATTCAACTCTTGCAATGGAGAGCTAGAACTTTTCTGATTCTTTACAGTATATACAGTACATGGTTGTACTTTCTACATTCTGGAAAAAATAACCGACCATAATCAATGTGCCATTGAATGGACACGAATGTCAAGCTTCTTTCTGCTTTTAGAGCTTTGATGTGACAAAAAAAGAAAAAAACTGGTCTAGCATAATCTATCGTATCTTTCCCTTCTTCTTCCTGATGAATTTTCCTTCTTCATTCTGCTTGCTTAGAAGGATTTATTCTTAGGAAGCCGCTGAGCTCCCTCCCAATTCTGCCGCTTCCGTGCACGCGGACCGGCAAGCGTTGGGCGGTTTCCTTTGTTCAGCTTCGGGAACGGCCGCAGGCGGCGCTTAGACATTCACGGCTTGGGCATCACCGCCCTGGAGCTCCTCTGCAGCATGACCATGGCCTGCACTCCCGGCCACCATGAGGCCTGCGCATTTTCTTGGGTGGTGACCGGGAGGGGAAGGATCCTTGGAGAGTCACACGAGCACCAAGGAATCCCGAGCGCCAAAGAGTTCTGGAATTGGGAAGACCTTTCCCACTCACCAGCATGGCCCCTTTGGCCAGTATTTTTTCCCATTCCACTGGCAGTGGGTCAGGGTACATCTTCTAAGTCTCTGCTTTAGGTTGGGCAGATCTCAGCTCAGTGGCTGAGAGTTCAACTCCCGAAAGCTTCGGCTTCCTGAAGGACTGGACTCGTGACTCGTTTTCTTGGGAAAAGACTCGTTGATCCTGAGAGCTCGGTCTCGCTAGGAGGAGCTCAGACCCTGGCTGCCCATTCTCGAAGCCTGGAAGTCCTACCGGGAGGCAGGAGTCTAAGGGATCCAACCATCTCACGAATTCGACATCTACCATGCCATGATGGGCGCGTTTGAAAACAGGACCAGGTTTTGAGACTTCTGCAGAGTTGTTTACAGCTGTAGATCTGTTTGAGATCTAGTTCGGCTTGTAGAGGTCCTCGCGTTTGACCTGCCCTAGCACAGGCAGTCTGGCACTGGTGGTCAGTGGTTTATGCGGTCTTCTCCACTGGTGGCGACCTGGGACCTGTACAGCAACAGCTGGTGGAGGACCATCAGTGAGAACGAGAGAACGACAGAAAGAGATGATGGTTTCCCAAAAGGCAAGTCGAACAAGCCCAAAGATGTTCAACTATTTCCTAACCAATTCTTGGGAGTGGGGAGTTTGATTGATGTTTACTAAGACGATACTGGACGGGATCTGGAGTGCAGTGAGTGCAGTGAGGTGAGGTGAGGTGAAGTGGGTGAGTGAGTGAGTGGCTAGGGGCCCGATTGAGGTAGGTAGCCCTTGGAGTTGGGATCATCCTCTCTACTGTATACGAAGGGTGGACATCAGGTGTTGGATCCTCACATGGCTGGCGAGAAAGGAATGGATTCTCCAAAAGTCTTATACCCATTGCAAAAACTCAAGTGGTAATGCAGTCCCAAGCATTTGATATCAATTCCATCGCCTTTGGGAAATACATGAGAACATGTTCCAAGGAGTTCCAAAGGGAACACTCCGACGCAACCAGAGGGCAGCCTTTTCCTTTGCAAAGGCTTGAGAAGAACAGCAGGGGCGGAAAGGGCCTATGTAGGGAAAAACCAGCAAATGCCATTCTTGGCTGATTTCGGGATGAGATTGTCAGATCCATCATGGCTCTATAGGAAATTCATTAAACATCAACAACATTCCAACATTTGCTTACTCACCTGTACATCCTGTATCTGGCACCACCTGAAACAACTCCCCAAACGTAGCCTATGCCCCAGTCTCACCTTCTTCTCTCCTAAACCAGATCGATCCACCTCATCTCGAAATGGTGAGGAGCGGCTCATTGAACGTCTCTTGGACTTGTTGTCCCGCATCCGCATGGCTTTGCGGCGCTGTGCCGAAGAGCTGCCGCAGGACGCGGACGGACGGGACGGGGGGGGTTTTGGTCCGCTTCGAGCCGCTGCGAGGAAAGCGGGAGTGAGGAAGTAGCCGGCTTGGTTTTCCTCGCTTTGGCCTTAAACAACAAGCTTTTGTCAATGATCCTCAAGTGAAATACTGTACTGCGTCTGTGGATTGGACTCCAAAACGCCCAGGACAAGTCCCGAAAACTCCTGCGGATGATCGCAGACATGTTAGACGAGGGGCTGCTGGAAGCATATGAGTTGAGGGAGTGGGGATGAGTGGGGGAGGGCCGGTGAAGCTTCAAAAAAGCTGACAACTCTATGGATCAATTACAGTGGTTTCAGAATGTATATATATAATATATGTATAGATGGCACAAAGCCATTCATGTCTTTTGTATGGAGGTCCATATAGACCACGTGTTGGGGATTGCGCCATCTACTCTGAAACTACTGGATGAAACTTGACCTCTGGTGAGCAGAGGAGCATCCCCCTTGATGGAGTTTTCTGGGGTTCATGTTGCCAGGGCTGTGTCCAGCAGGAACCGATGCACTGCGAAGCGGATCATCTACGGTGTTCTTGGAAAGGGCCCTGTTTAACGAAGGAAAGGAAAGATCTTGCACGCTCCGAGGCTTCATTCTTTACAAACATTGGCCTGTCAATCTCATGATGTCGTTGATGCTGAACCCATGGATTGTGGCTGTGAGTCATGTTTCGTCTAGTGCTCAGGTTCAACATGGGTAAATCTCAAGCAAAGTGGTGAGTCGGTACCCTCTTGGAGGTGAATCCACGATGGTTGACCAACAAACCAATAGCACTCATGCTGTTATCCAAATGATTCCAAACATGGCAGACAGACTTCGATCTCTGGCGCTGGGGATGACTGGCACTGCAGAGCTGTGGAGGATGGTGGACAACCGGAACGCAAAAGGTTGGAATTTGCGGATCTTGGACGATTCAAAAGGTTGGAGAGATGGACTGATGAACCTCTCCAAAATCAACCATTGGTTGCGATCAGCGCTCGGCAACGGTCGGATTCGAACCAGTTTCCAGCAGTCTGGCAGTTGCCCCAGGAAGACCTTCGATCTCAGAGAGATCCAAAGGCCATTTGCTGGGAGCGGTTGGTTAGTTCGTGGGTTTGTATGGTTTACATCCTGAGTTGAGTATCTGCGTTGGCAGTCTAATAAGTTAAGATCCGGTGCTATGCTCCATGCCAGCGTCTTGGCCTTTTGAACCATGAGAACTTGCACAGTTGTGCCAAACACATCAACACAATGTGATAGTCTCATTGTGGCCGTTTCTCCGTCCTTGGCATTCCCAAGCTGTCCGACCGATGCACCGTGCCTGGCGGCACCTCGCCTCGCCACGGAGGCTTTTGGGCGGCCCGATGATCGACGCGAAGCCAAAGCCAAAGCGATTTCACACCTCGCCGAGCAATGGGCATGTGGCGTGGCAGAACGAACAAGGCCACAAAGGGTACCCCTTTTCGACCGTTTTCTTTTTTGGTCTGTGAGTAAATTCTTTCAAGGTCAACGGCATTTGTGGTCCAAACTTTTACACCGTCTTTTCTCAAAAAGTGTCTTCAACATCCTTCAACCGTTTGTTTCCCAGGCCCAGTTTTTGGGGCCCGAATCTTCACCAAGGTTTGCTCGCCGCTGAAGGCTGAGGTTGCCCTGCAGGTGTCAGCGTCGGGCGTTGGGATTGCTTTAGCTGACAACAATGTGTGTATATATATTGAAATAGGGAGACCAACCGGGAAGAAGGAGGAGGAAGAGAGGAGGAGGGAGAGCAGAGGGAAGAATGCGAATCAATTTCACTAAAACCCCGTGGGCGATGAGGGTCAATCTCCACCTGGTCTTTGCCCCGGGGTTTCCAGGCCAACCGCATGCACAGTGCGCGGATTTCCCACGATGCTGAGCGGCGAGAGAAATTGGAGACCAGGCACTGAAATCGCTGGGCAATCATGCGCAGATGTTGGTTTTGGTATATTTTGGTTTTGGCAACAACTGAGAACACGCTTTTTGTGTCGAAATGTGGAATGAACACATCCAGGCGACCAGTAGGATTCTGATCTTGGAAACGGTACTTGTTGCCATTCTTAGAGTCCGACCAGACACATAGCTTCATGGTTTTGAGCCAGGATTCTCCATTTTCTTGGTACAATGGTATCACCAGATAGAATTCTTGTGAACAGTGAAGCCGCCACGCCGATCTTGCCCAGCTTTCCTGGCCACCAGAGTCTGCTGCTGCGCATGCAAAGCATCTGGGTGGCAAAAGTGAGAGAACTATCGGGAGAACGACTTCTCCACACGGCGGAACATGCTGGGCCCCCCCTAAGGTGGTCGCCCCATAGAAGTAGCGAGGTGTGTTGATGGGAGGACACGCTTGGGCTGGTGGAGAATCAGCTGTTGGGTATCGAGAGGTCTCTGCCCTTTTCGGCTTCGAGGCTTCAGTGCACAGCTGCGAGAGCGCAAAGTCCAGGAGCGGTCGCTCAACGTTGGACTCGACGTTTGGACCCTGTTCAGCGCGACCAGCCGTCACTCGTTTCAAGGCGTCCAGCCGTCGGTGACATGGGTTGTATGTGGGTCGTTCTGATGGTTGTGAAAGAGATCACCCCAGGTGGGTCCTTCCGTCAATCGAGAGCAGCCTGCTTGATCCTGCCCAAACAGCCAGCACTTATAAGCTGCCTAAAACGCCCAGCATCGCATGATTTCCAGTGCAATTTTTGGTGCAGTCAATCTGTGAAGAGTTGGTCAGAGATGACGGAGTCATTTTGAACAAGTGCTGTGTCCCACCCCGCGCAATAACGCTGGCTGATGAGGACATCATCTTCCAACTCGTGGTGCTGGATGTTTCACAACTCCTCTCACAGTTGAAAACACTTACAGTATGAGAACCTACACCCCTTAACATGCTGAAGCCTTCACATCATCACTACTGTCAAGGGATGGTCAGAACTCTGAACCAGCTTGGGATAGGGAAACCCACCGTTTTCACTTTGGGAAAACGGCTGTCTTCGTCGTTCCGTTCGTGTCGGCCCGTTCCCGTTCGCTCTCGGACAGCGGAGCCGTCGCTTAACCGGAGGAGGGGGCAACGGCACTGGAGCTGCAACTCCAACAGCTTCGGCGGAAGGTGGTCGGACAGGCGGGGGTGACTAGGTGTGCACCGTGGAGTTCATTGGAGCGGCTAGTAAGCCTCTCATGAAGAGGTTCACCAAACAGGTCATGAGTATGATGAAATTGACCGGAGACCGTTCTTTTTGACCACTGCTCATGGGAGTTGGATTTCATTGTGGATTGGATTGATGTTGCATGATTTCATGTGGAGTTCAAGGTCAGAGTTCCATAAGCAGAAGCGCACGATTTCGTGGTGGTGCTGGTAGAGAGTACTAGACAGCTGCACTAGATAGCTGAGGTGTAGAGGAGCTGCAAATACCGAAAGGGACTCAGAGAGCCCCTTAGCCCAGAGGTGTCATGCGCCCAGAGGGTTGTCTACTGTGAAGCACACCTTCTGAAGCTACCCGTGAGGCTCGCCACCGTCTGCAGCACTTGGCCGCTGAACATGTAAGGCGGAGTGAAACACAGCAATGAGGGCCCAAAAAGAGGCCGGAACAGAGTACTTGGGTGCAACTAGACTTGGATCTGGGTCAAGTGTGTTCTGTTGCAGCAAGTGTCTTCACTTTATGATGATTTATCCACCCATCTGCCTGGCTTGAAGAAATTCTTGGGCCTCCATCTCAAGCTTCGTCCAAGAAGGGCGGCTGTACGATATGTGGTCGTCTGGGCATGAGGGTGAGGCTCAAAAGAAGGGGAAACCCACCAAGTGGCCTTACGACACCCTGTCTTTGACTACTACTAGCAAGTACGCTACTAGCAGCTCCTGGCCTTACTACTAGGAGCAAGAAGCTACTAGGAGAAAAAGTAAAAGATGAGCCAATCAACCGGACCACACCACAACTACGAACCCATGGGAGCAATGAGCAGTTCCTGGAAAGATGCAGCACCAAGCTGCAGTTTGTCGTGTTCGTCCACAGCTAAAGGACCTGCATGTTTCCGTAGCAGACCTCAAAAGGACGGAAACCAGTGGTATTTGTTGAAGGGTTTATATAACCAAAACCTTGGGGTTTGGTGGATTCTTGTGGTTTGACACATGAAGGATCCGGAAGCTATGTACAGCATTATATACATTTATATATAGTATTAATATAGAATGTAGACCCACATGAGCTCTTGTATCAGTTGTTTCCATAGGGTTGATCGATTTTTGAACCTCACCCATGTTAATTCAACTCCCTCTTCTTGGAGGGCTTGCGTCAGGCTAGGACCCGCTAGAGGGATGCCGGCTTTATCTGCCGATGGTCCTCTCGTCGGCCGCCTGCCGTGGACGGTTTCGTCGCAGTCGTCGGTTTGGGAGCAAATTCGTTGCAGTCGTCGGTTTGGAGTCTTTCAAGTGCGACTGGATTGGTCCTGCAAACGAAACGAGAGGGTAAGAATACAGGGCTACATGACCGGTCGTTTTGCGCAAGTTCCTGCGAAAACAACTGTTGGGGAAGAAGTTCCGCACCTTGAGGTCAGGAACATTATATGAGTATATACTGTATAGGTGGGTAGATTAGTTGGCTCAGGTGATTTGTGCACTGTAATGCAACAACCGCCATCAACGACAACGACGACGACAACAACAATAGATTTCTTTGACAGCACGTTTCTTCTGCTAAATGCTGTGGGCCGAGAAGGTGAGTTGCACAAAGTTTTTTACTACCAAGTTTTGCAGGCAAAATGGTTTCTTTTGTTTTCTTCCTTTTGTTCTCTTTCGTTCGGTAGTCTGGGTGTTGCACAGGATGCCACCTTCACTTTTGTCACTTTTGCAGGACTCCGAAGCGTCAATCGTTGGATGACCAGATCTTCGCCAAGGGTGTGCCCGGATCCACGCGGGGATGCCCAGGAACGACGCAGATCTTGGCCGTCCGCCGTCGAACCCCATTCCCGGCGGTGAGAATGGGGCGACGAGAAACATTCGGAGTTTGTGGTGACCTTTTTGGGCATCTCAAAGTGAAGAACCTTGGCGAAGTCCAAGCGTTCCTTTGGGAGTTCCCAAAGAGTCCGGCGATTCAAACTCAGCTTGATCATATCAATTTTCACTCCAGCTTGTCATTGAGCCATTGTTTCTCCAGGTCAACATCTTCTGATATGATATTGTTTGAAGAGATCTGATGATTTACCTGCCCAAATTGAGAGATTTGAGGAATTGAGAGGGACTTTGCCTGATTTTACCTCTCTGTCACCAGACATCGATTGCTGGAGCCGCGGAGCGAGCGAGCGACTCCGCTCCGGTGCAGGTCACGGACCGGCCACGGTGGCGGGTGAGCGGCGAACGAGGTGCGACTCAAAATGAGTTGATCGCCGGACCAACAGGTTTTTCATGCACATATATATATATATAACTCATATAAGAAAATACACGTGTATCACAATAGTACACAATGTACGAATGATCGTTTAGTTTCTATGGCAAAATTGGGATGTGTGGTCCATGAGGGAAGTCTTGTGAATGCCGAAGGAAAAGGGGAAGACCAAGGAGGAGGTTGGATTGAAACTGAGAAGTGGGAGTAGAAGCTTCGTCACTTCAGCAATGCTCGTGGCCTTGCTCATTTTCCACTGGCTGGACCGCGAATGAATTGTGCTCTGAGGGAGCAACTCTGCCAATGGTGCTAGCATCTGGATCTTATCCCTTAGGTGTACATGGCTGCAAGGCAAGAAAATGGCCTGTGAGTGCAGGGCTTTTGTGGTATGGCTGGTGATTGTTTGAAATTTTCCTCAACGCCTTGCAAAGATCTCTGCATGAAAGACAAATTCAAAATGTTGCAAGAGGAGCAGATGGATTCTTTGGTCAACCCCAGTGCAGGTTGGTAGACTTGAGTCATGCTGCTCCATGCGGTCGGGTTGCTAGGACAAGCAGACAAGGGCTGCAGCTCACCATTGAGTTACTGTAGATGCAGCCAGCTTCGGTCGATCCAGCGAGGTAGAACACGGCCTTCGGATACCCCACAAGAAGGTACCTTCGAACGGGTGACGTTTACATATTGGACGATGATCGTGGCACTCGGGTTGGCCTGAGGCCGCCTGGGCTGGTCGCATGGAGGCCGCAGTGGACCGGCCCACAGCACGGCAACCGTGGCCCGGCGAACGGAGGTGCAAAAGGTAGATAGGAGGATGAGGAGGAGTGATATCACGTGCGTACTGTAGTAACAGTGTAGTAAAATCAGCAAAAAATAGAATTGAGATGTGAATTGGCGGATGGGTTAGGAAGCTACTTAGATTTTGTTCGACTTTGAACTCAGCATTGTACGAGCATGCATCTGAAGTTCAACTGAAGCTTTGATCGCAATTTGGACTGCCCCAAGTGGTCCTTGCTTGAAGAAAAGAAGGCTCATCCCGGCCAAGCACTCTGCACTGGAAATCAAGCACTCCCCAAGATCCCAAGAAACTCCATCACCTCTTCTCATCAGCATATGCCATGCTGATAGAGTGCCGGCCTATTCAAACGATTCAAAGACGAGCTAGCACCTTCACGACTAGCAAATCCACAAGAACCACACGTTGAGTCACACAACCGTGCTGTTGGCCATAGTTCACTGATGTAAAGCTGGGTTTCGGACAACTGCTCAGAGTGGTCAGGGCGGGCGGGGGGGAAAGGACGACTGGATGGGAAGGGCGTACCCAGATACTAATGGTACTTGTACCATTGTACTGTATGGTACCATTTAACATCATTTTACCATATTTATGGAACAGAACTTACCCAGATGCTTGCGGTACTTATGGTACTTGTTCTGTTTCTTATGGTTCCCGACATTGTCTGACCATTTGAGACTGAGGTTGTGGCTGAAGGCGGGATGCTGGAGGGTGAACCCCTCACTGGCATCATGTGAGAGCCTGGGAACACACTGCATGCCATTCACGAAGCCATGCCACTGCAAGTTTGACTCGGTGCGAATGGGTTTGCTCCTTCCCAATCGTCCATTCACGTCGGCTGCTTTTTGGCCATGCAGAGTCGGCTCAGCTGCGGAGACTCCGACGTGATCGGTGGAGTTTGGAGGGAAGGTGAACTTTAAAGGCACTTGTTTTGGCTCTCTTCGTCGGGTGTTTGGTTTGTAGTTTGAGGCAAACCGAAAGCGAGACTGGGTCAAACTGGTGACGTTTTTTTTCTTTCCCGTCTAGAGGGAGGGCATGCAAACCATCCCCTGCTTCACAAAATTCTGCGGGTTCCGCCAGCGTGCCCCAGTATACTGGGTTCAGAATAGATGCTAAGTTACACATTCAACACACTACACATCTACACCGGGGTCTTCGTTTGCTTCTTCTGCAGAAGCATCCTGCCCCAATTAATTCAGAGGACATTTTTCAGCTGAGCGTTCTTGGGCCAAAGCTCCTAGTAACAAGTGCATCGCTACTAACCTACTAGTAACATTGGCATTACTACTAGTAGCTAAGAGGCTACTAGGGGCTCCTGGCCTTACTACTAGGAGCAAGGACGCTAGTAGTAGCTCCTGGCATCGCTACTAGTAACAAGAAGCTACTAGTAGCTACTAGTAACACTACACCCACCAAGGCCGCTTTCGACGGACTCCGATCCCCGCGGCTCGCAGGTGGACCGCGCCGTGCAGCGCGCCGCTCGGGTGGAGTCTGCCCGGATGAGGCGGGAGGACGTGACGCAACACGCTAGTAGTAACAAGTGCCTTACTAGTAGTAACAAAAAGCTATTAGAATTGAAATACAATTGAATCTAAATTAATAGCTTCTTGTTACTACTAGTAAGGCACTTGTTACTAGTAGCGATGCACTTGTTCCTAGTAGCGATGCCCTTGTTTCGGTAACGTGACAACGTTGGGATTCGCTTTGTTTTGAAAGACCATCATGCCAGGAAAACAGGGTTGGACGTAGGTTGGACATAGGTTGGACTACATACATACAGGCTCGTGTCCATCCAACATGATTGATTTTGCTATCCAAACATGCTGTTAAGATGGGGCCGAGAATCTTCCTTGAGCCTTTGAGCTGCGAGCTGCAAACTCTCCAGGTGTGCCCTGGAGGCTTCGGATCCAGACCAGCTTCAGGCACGCACCCACTGAGAAGCGAGGTGAGAGGCAAGGCGAGGTTGGGAGTAAAAACGCGGATTTTAGCCCTTTTGGATACAAACATTTGGATAGTCCTGTGGTGGCTTATATGCACAGGCCACAGACTGACAGAGGATTGAACATCTCCATTGGCCTCCTTTGTCAGCACGGGAGGCCATGATGACCTGGTGGATGGCGCGTGATCCCAGTGCCGCAGGGGCGCCTGGCAGCGGAATTTTCAAGCGAACAACAAGGGAGGAGGAACAACTTCGGGCTTTCAACTGCACAGAGCTTGGGACCCTTCCACTTCCACCAAGTCTGGTCTCCAAAAAGACCTTGTGTCCACCTCCGGTGTGTAACATTGCACCCGCAGACGAAATAGCCAGCAAAGACGAAGTCGAAGACACCTTCCCCAAAGAAAATGGCAGTCTTGCAGTTTTCTGGGTGACTGAATTTGGATGAATTTCGATACACCGACTTGATGAAATCAAACGGGAAATGACATGCAGGATATGCCGAGCCTGAACAAGGGAAGGAATGCAAGCACAGGGAAAGGTACTGTAATATATAGACGAAATTCAGGTGAGAGACGAAGTATCTAAGGATCTAAACAAAGTGAATCAAAGTGAGTGGTATGAAATGAAAAGGACCAGCGTCAAACGCAGTCGATTGAAACAAGAACGGACATCATATGCAAGGAAGGTTCTCATATATGAAAATGCTACAGTAGCCTACTATGGCAGTTGCTGGATCCCATCATGGTTCATGATCCATCAACAAAGTTCAGTCTTCTTGGCCATACATGCACGAACAAACATGGCAGCGCCTTTGGAGCACCCATAGACGACCCGGAGACCCGCACAGGGAATCGTGAGGTTGTGGCGTTCAGTGGAGGTGACTGTCGCTGTGCCATTGGGATTGCACTTTTGGAGGGAGACTTCCCAGAACGCAGAACGCGTGACTTTTGGAGGAAGCCACCAACCCGGCTGATAGAGGATCAAAAGGAGGAGTTTGAAGCAGAGCGTGTCAAGCAGAACAAAGGAGAAGGTTGCAAGAAGTGAGGAGGATGATCTATAACCATTAAGAAGGAGGGATGCCAGAGAAGCCAACGACAAGCAACCAGTTGGCCAAACGCTGGCGCAAAACGCTCATTTTAGAGACTTCACGCGCCACCTTTTGGAGGAAGTCTCGTAAGAACCGCTCATTTTGGAGACTGGCAGCTTGGCATGCTGAAACCACCATCGCAGTCGCCGATCTCGACGAATCGAATGATTTGGGGATCTAAAGACTCATCTGAATCCGACTCTGATGACGGATGATTCCTCTGGTTCCAACATGGAAAAGCCTGAAAAAAATCAGATGCAAGTGGACTGATCAAATTTTCCGTGTCGTGGTCCTTGCAATCGGTCGTGGCACTACGTTGTCAGCGTCGTCGAAGCGTCAGACCCCAGGGATCGTCACCGAAAATGCGTCGTTGTAATCTGTCGTTGTCGCGGAATCGCGACCGACCATGTGTCGTCATGCGATGTGTTGCCACCATGTGTCTGCCACAGGCGTTTTCAGCGTCAGGTCAGAAGTAGCGCCCCCACCAACAGCCTCTTTGTGAAGAGAAACAAGCAGTAGTGTTTTGGAGAGCTTTACCGTACCACAAACAACGACCCTGGAAATTTTCAGTTAGTGCAACACAAGATGTTTTGATCCTCAACCTGTGTGGTTATTGTCAAGACATGGATACCCACTGATGTACTGGTTAGTTATATATATATATAGTTGGGAAAATGATCTCAGTTTTGCCCTATCTTGGAGGGTCAAGCATGTCGGGCAAGAGTGGTGCTTAAGAGAGCAGAATGGCCCGCCTAAAATAGCAGCGGGACTCCGTGGAACCCCCTGCGTCATGCGGTCATCCTCATGTAGATTGTGGACATGGTATTTTGAAGTGTCTCTTGCAGGCCTCCTCGGGTGGCAATGCCACGGCCCGTGGGGAGCCTGAGGGAGGAAAGCGCGGGTGTGACGTGAAGAAGTGAAGGCCGAGACTTGAAACTTGGGGAATTGGATGGAATGGGAGTTGGATTGAAGCTTTGTTGGGATCTGGATCGAATCCGGCTGACTGACTGGTGAAGAAACTCGTGTGTGTGCGTGCGTGATTTTTCTTTTTTAGATAAGTCTTATTCGCCAGGGATCCGGTCCAATGCTTTGGATTTTAACTAGTCATTGACAGCATCACGATGGCCTTGGGTATGGTATGAGGGTAGTCATTCAACATCCCAGCACTGGTGGGGCATCAACTGTTGATTTGCACCATCTCACACACATGTTGCCTACTTAACTGCACCTTCAAAGCCTCCATTGAGTTGTAGCACTATGAATTACTGTTACTAGATGCAACCAGCGCTGCCAACCTTTCTTGGCCAAGGTTTACTGCAGGAGAACAGTAGTGTGGAAGAGGCCTGGCAAGGAATGTGCGCTGACCTAGTCATCATGGTTTGTGTGCATTTCCTTTGCCGAACAGTGGACGTGTCCATCAAGAGCCCCTGACACTTTGAAACCGCCAGGTAGCATTGCTATTCTCATGGATCTACAGATGTTGAGTACCACACAGGGACGGGAACGACACCCGGGACGACAGGGCCATCGATGCTAGCAGTTTTTGGGCCCAACTTGGGAGCCCCTAGTAGCATCCTTGCTCCTAGTAGTAAGTCCAGGAGCCCCTAGTAGCGTCCTTGTGGTGCAACCGTTGGAAGACATGTGGTGAAACGGTGCCAACCGCGTTTCAGCGGCTTTTTCATCACTTCTTTCTCGGCTTCAGACTGCAGAGAGGTTCAGAGAAATCAAGAGTTTGAAGAGTTCACCGGTGGGTTTTGCAGATGGACTATGGCCATGATCTCGATGACACCGAATGAAGCTGCTAACAGAGCTATGATGAGGCAAAACCGCTGAAAAGAAGCGGAAAGACCAATAAATTCTTGGTCCATGCCGACATGAACTCTCCAAATGCTTTGCTTCAACGTTTGTTGACTACAAGGATACAGGATACTGATACCCTTCACAGGTGCGTTTTCATCCCACAATAGTCTTTCTTGCAGAATGTGGCTTATTCAAGTCCTGTTTACTCTCAACCCCGTCTAAGCTCTGCCGACCCACAGCACAAGCGCTGAAAGGGGCTCGACCAGGGGTCTAAGACGGACCACCTCCGACCGAAACGACCTGGTGTTTTCCCACCAGTGACCCACGAGTGGGAGCAAGAAGGCGTGTCCGGATTAAAACCTTCCTCCACACGAGTGTTGGACCGCTCCAACACGACCGGTGACCGGTGACCTTCACCATGCGCGAGGCAGGCGAAGGCGAGACGTTGGGCGCGTTGCTCTTCTCCGAGCGCCTGCACCGGAGGCGCCCAGCGTGGTTGGACACATCCACACCAACCGCCAAGCCGAGCGGCCTGTGGCGGTTGGAGGTTGCGGTGGTCATGTGCCATTAGGAACTCCTCCTGTTTCTGCATGTTTCGTGCTGGTGAAGTCTGAGAGAGGAAGAACCCCTCCGATGCGCCGAAGCAGACAGTTGTCGTTTGAGGTTTCCCTATGTCTCCTTCTACGGCCGGCGGACTCGACTGAAGCTTCAGGGTAGCTGTGGCGGATATGGAAGCAATGAGGGGCCATCTCAGCGGCTGAAATGATCAGACTTAGGGTACATATCCGAGATATCATCCCATTTGTGAGCCATGTGCCCACCTCTCAGATCAGCTACCAACCTTCGGCACTCTTCAGCATATTGTATCATATTGTAGCTTATCCACTGATCATGAGCAGCTTTCTTCCACTTCAGTTCCACTAGTATTGCAGGTTTTCGATTTGCTCTTGTAGTAACAAGTGCATCGCTACTAGTAACAAGTGCCTTACTAGTAGTAACAAGAAGCTTCTAGTAACAAGTGCATAGGTCCAGTGCATCCCATCACCCGAACCCCGGCTTTCACCGAGGGCGCTTCGCGCCACCCGCTCCCCTCCAAGGCCCAGACGACTATGCGGTGGGTGGCTCCGTCTCAGAGGCGGACAATCCGCGGGTTTTGAAAGATTGGAAGGCCTGACATTGATTCACATCGAAGAAAACCACCTGAATTCAATTATCGAAGGCCTGCATATGAATTCACTCCCTCCCCAAATCCATGCTGGTTAGAGTGGCTGGTTTGGGGAGGTGGTGCGCCGGCCTGCTTTTGCTTTCTGCGCTGGCCCTCCGGGGTTTGGGGTGTGAACATGCTGGGTTTTGGGGTGGCCCGCCGCGGAGCCGTCTTTGTTGACGGGGGCTCCTGGCATCGCTACTGGTAACAAGAAGCTACTAGGGGCTCCTGGCCGTACTACTAGGGGCAAGAAGCTATTAGAAACGACTGGAATTGTTTTGGACGGATAACAGGCTGAAGCTGACTGGCAGGCGTGTTTGAGCTGCTACTTTTCTGGGGCTGTTCAACTGACCCACAGAGAATCCGACGCTGACGGCAAAACTCCTGCACCTCCAAGCTCACCCCTGCGTCACCATGCCATACTGTATCTCGCGAGAGATTGCTCTTTTGCAAACCTGACCACATCTGAATCGGATTTCTTTCGGATTTCTCATTTCTCTTTCGGATTTCTTCCATCAATAGGCACGGGCCGGGACGGAGGGTGTTGCTTTGAGCGCCAGGCCAGTGGCCCTGGACTGGAGTTTGAGCGACTACAACAGGTGAGCATGTCCTTGGGCGATCGGTCGGACCTGAAAGAGGTTGCTGGATGGGGGGTGCAACGGTTGCTCAACAGTTCAACCTTGATTTTCAATGCAACTCATCCTCACCAGACATTTGGAAATTGTGGACTAGACCTCGAAGAGACACCAAGAGGAGAAGCCAGAGAAGATTGCCTGAAGCCCAATTCGATCACAGATGCGTATCCCAACCCGTCCCACCTGGTCAGCCCGCGGTCTTTCTTGGAAGGCACTGCAGCAGAATTTGCAAGCCTTGCAGGAGTCCAGCCGAAACAAGGTCAGTTGTAGTGGGTCAGATGTTCATCAGGACCCTACCACACGGCAGTTCGAGGGACCCTAAAAAGGTGTCAACTGGTGACCTGTAGAGTTGGGTGCTGGTAGAAGGTCAGTATGTTCCACTGTATAACCAATGCTTGTTGAAGGGACTGGAAGCTCCACATTGAACTGGCTTATCAGAGATACGTGGTCTGAAAAACAAGGATAGTCCCCTACAGCAGTCTTATTTGTGGTCTACTTTGCACTCCACCAGTATGGCACACTTTCTGGGGCTGCGACGAATTCAAGAGGCGCTGGGCCCTGGAAGCTTTGTATCCCCATGTGTGGAATATGCTCTCTGCAAACCGATGCAGATGCAGTCCTCAGGTCCTCATGCTGCCGAAGTTCTTTGGACCCTATTCAACATTATTCAACTATTTCCTTTGGGCCGTGCATGTGGCGAGAGGTTTTTCCGAGTTTCGGGGTGGCTCTTAGAGGTTAAAGACAAGCTTTATCTCAAAGGCAACTCTTCTCTACGCCAAGGATTTGTTGCACTAAAGGTGTCTTTTTCCATTTTCATGTGAATGGACACGACGCTAATGTGAACTGCAGGACTTGCGATCAAGGCTAGCTCCTTATCAGGACAGCGGTGTCGGCCAGTGCACAAACATTTGCTCCAGGTTTTCAAGCCTAAGCGAATTTTGAAAAAACAACGCCAGTACCTCACCTAATTACATGTGCACTTGCCGGAGGGTGGTCAACCAAAATAAATCGAACTAAGACTTGAACAGGTAGACTGAGCTGTCGAGAGCACATTCATTGCATGCCCGACCCCAGGCAAGAAGTAGTCATTTCTTGTTGACAGACTTGTATGATCACAGGAATATCTACTCCAAGATAGGAGTGCGAATGGGCTTAGACCTCAAAAAGCCCACCCACCCGGCTCGTGAGCCAAACCATTTTTGCCCCCAGGAATCCTCCCGAAGTTCCTTGTTCTGGACCTGGAGCGATGTCGTCAACGTCGCCACCCGCTTTCGGGAAGCCCTGTGCTTTCCGGCAAAGGCGGGGGCCCCTTTCTTGGACGGTTTCGCGTGGCGTTTGGTGATATTTTGGGGAGAGAGACCGAAACAGTAGAAGGAAGCAAGACAACATGGGAGTGTGTCGGTATGTCTTTGCGGCCGCCCCTTGACCTTGCAGCAGAAAGCCCGTGGAGATGACTGGCAGAAGGCCATCAACTTTCCTCATGCTTTGAACAAAGGGGGACTTTGTTCAAACTCTGGCATTGTTGTTCATGCTTGTTGGTCGTTCTTTTTCTGCTGGGTTGGTCCCTCATCTTGAGACAAACAGTAGGGGTGGAATGTCTCGAGAAGAGGACGCATGAGGATCCAGGCGGGACCCCCGTACAATCCTGATACATGTGGATGCTGCGGATGCCAAAATCAAACGGGTGGAGTCCAACAAATGCACAGTTCACCAAGTTCACCACGAGTACTGCAGGAAGTGAAGTATGCAGCGGTGTCAAACCAGTGTGGACAGACAGTTTCTGATTCCCATCAAGGTGTTTGATCGTTGACCTATCCCTTTCTGTAGGGGGTTGACCAAACTCTTCTTGTTTTGTTTGAGACTAGAGTTTGACCCATCTACAGACTATCGACTATTGTACTGTAAAGAGAGATATTGGTCATCCGCAGTTCGTAAGATCACCTCATGTCGTTCATGTCAGCAGGAAGGGACATGACCATGCACCTCTTTGGAAGCAAGTCTTCTGGTCTCCAGGGCCGGTGTAAGTCCAAGTCCAGGGCCAGTGGAGGAAGACTGAAAACCCTTGTGTAGACCGTAACACTTGCATCGGATCGGACCCGCTCGACCTCGGTGGGTCGATGGAGCCGTCCCACTTCGTCCATGTCACCTCTGGGTCGGAAGAACACAGCCATTTGCCTGGCCAACGGATGAGAACACTCACGTACTGGTAGCTCTTGGGCGAGAAGTTGAAGGGTTTAACGAACAGTTAGGTCTGACGCCTTCTACTCTGAGTGCCCATGTCTGCGTGTTCAACGAACTTGCAGGTGTTGGGCCAATTTTGGAGCCAAAGCACCTCAGCAGACGCTCTCCAAATCACAAGGTCCCAACCTGTCTCAAGATTGGCCTCTGAGGCGGCCAAGGCGGCGGCAGGAGGCTTGAATCGCCTTGACGAGGTGGTCCGGAGCGCCCAGCTGAAGAAGTTGTCTTTGAACTTTTTCTTTGCACTTGATTATGCTCTATTTATATAACAACATGTTTTTTTGGTCATGTTTGTTCTTTTGTTTAGACATTGTTTAATTATATCATTGGATGTTTTGCTTTCTTTTTAAAGACCATTTTCATTTCATCCTTTGTCTTTGTTTCTTTGGACATTTTCCGTTCTTTTAGATCTTTGTTTATGTTATGAATGTCACGAGGTGAATTCCCCTCCTTGTCTCTTTACTTGTCTCCCCACTGGCAAAACGGTGAAGAGGATTCCCTGAACTCTCCTCAGTGAAGCCATGATCGGACGATAAGGCAACAGCATGGGCTCGGTGAACCTTCGCTTCTCCTTGTCTCCGCATGCTTGTCTTGCTTGAGTGCACGCGTGTTTGGCTTTGATATGAGTGAGCCGCAGCTTGACTCTGGACATTCAACGTCATGTGTCTGACATGGTTGCTAATAGTGCTCGACATACACAGCACAAAGCTTCTGAACACAGGCTTGTATGCGCACTTCTGACAGCGTGACGGGATGCCCCTGGAACACGCACAGCTCCGTCTTTGAAAACACCATCATGTTTGCGAGAAACACATGGTTGTGTTGATCAAACTGCGCAGGTGTGCTTTTGAAACTATAAAACAACATGTTCGAAGGCGTAAAATGCCTAGCGACATGTAACCTCGATCGGAAGGGGACAGGCACCGCTTTCCAGTGGATCCCACTTTCCACTTTCAGAGCAGTTTCTTGATGTACGTCTTACGTCTTTCGAACCACTGGTTACTGTACCTACTAATTATAGTGGTTGCTTTGTCCACTGAATTCTTGTTGTTCTTGGCTACCGGCTTCTGAGCCTGTTACGATATGTTACGATTTTGAGTTGGCATGTGAGTTCTTTCGTTGTTGAGACTGTACTGTGTTCTTTATATACTGTATATTTTTTACTTGGACGCTTTTTCTTTAACACTTGTCTCCTTTAGATCTTTTCTTTATAGACCAGAGTGTGAGTGTTCTGTCTTTAGACTTTATTCTTTTCATTCTTGGAGGTTTTTACAACCGATACTTTGAGCTTGTCGCATCACGTTGCGCTGTAGCTCTTGGCCCCAGAGGCCCCTTTTGGTTTCTCGTGGGGGGCTGACGCCATGGTGCGGTGGCGTCTGTGGGCCATTGGCCTTTGGTGGGCCATGAGTCCGAGCGATGGGTGGTGGCAGACCTCCGGGGATGTGGATCCGGACCCACCCAACTCCACTTGTTGGGAGGAGCCCCTTCTTTGCCTCCAGAAGCGGGTGAACTCGACTGTGGCCGCTGTCCAGGCGCAGTATGCCACCCTGACGACCTGGGATAGCTTGGCTTGGACTGTTCTGGACACCCTGCTGTCCGGTGCAGGGTGGCTGGTGTTTGGGCAAAGCTGGGCCAGCGTCAGGACAGGCTGCTCCTTGCTCCTGCGGGTGGCCTTCTTGATGGCGATTTGCATCGTGCTCCACTACTTCCTGTCCTTGGCCTGGCCGTTATGCTCCTTGGCCATTGGGACGCTTCTGACGGTGGTGTGGGTTGTTCGGGCCATGGTGCGATGCTGCGGGCGGGTCGCGTTCTACACCCAGCGGATGGCCGGGGGTGTGCCCGAAGCGATGGGAGCGACTTTCATTGGCCCAGATACTGGTGAGATTCCCGAAACAGCTGACCTTCGTAAGATGAAGAAAGGGACCAACGAGGAACGTTGGGTTCTACTACGGAGGGATGGCTACGTGGTCATCATCAAAGTCATCGAGAATGCGGCGATCAAGTCCAGCGGCATCTACCTGCACTTTGACCCTGAGGCGACTCGAGGAGATGCCCAGCTCTTGCTTGCCCTGAAGGGCTACGACAGAGTGCACCTGTGTAGGCACGATACGTGTCCGGAGGAGGGTCAGCACTTCAAGAGCTACGCCTTGGCTCGGCATCTCAACCCCGAACGCTTCCACCTCCTGTCATCAGCGGCGGGGGCCCAGAAGACGGGAATGAAGACGATGGGATGGCTCTTTTCCAAGGCCAACAAAACAGCCAAGCGGCTGCAGGACTATGCGTCCGAATCGGAGAAGGAAGAGGCAGGCGGGTGCAGCGCTCACTGGGTGAAGTGGGAAGGTGAGATGGGCAAGACCTGCCTCAGCGACCACCCTTGCAAGAACCCCGGTGCCACGGAGGTTGAGATGTTGGAGGAGGATCGCGAGAACCTGCCTGTCGACCAGCCAAGCACCCTCTGCCCTGCTCACGGCGTCCACTACCTGACCTCCAGAATGGCGATGAAGTGTTCCTCTGGGGGATGCCAGAAACTGGGAATGGTGACGAAACAGGGTTTACGCCTGTGCGGGGTCCACCAAGAACAGGCTTCTACATCGTCAAGGCGTTCATCACGGTCAAGGTCTAGGGCAAGGGAACCACCTCCGGGAGAAGGCGAAGGAGATGAACGTGGAGATGGAGAAGGTGATGATCGGGCGAGACGCCGTGGAAGAGGACGGGAGGTCTCATACCAGGAGGATGAGGCTGAGTCATTCCTTCGGGGGGTGAGAGAGGAGAAGGAGGA